AGAATTTGCATTGATGTAAATAAAACAGGGACTGGAAAAATAATGTAGACCACTTCCTTCATTTTATGCAGGTGGGTGCTGAAGCCCAGGAAAGTTAAATGGCTTATATAATGTCACATAAACACAGACAGAGTTGATTCTAGAACTGGGGTTTCTGCTGTTAGACCAACACCACAATATTAAAGGAAAATATTTTAAAGGCAATCACCAACCTCTAAATAGCTGTATATTAAAGTTTAGAAACATTTGTAATATAAACATTTCCAGAACTGAAAAAAAAAAATCAAGTTTTAATAAGCACCACTAGAGAATTAGTCCCTGCCCTCAAGTTAAAAGATCAATGACTCTCCCCACAACATACCTTTAAAACATAAAGTGGATGCTTCTCATATGAGGATCCAATGTGGATTTTTCTAACCATATCAGGATATGTCTCAGTCATATGTTCTATCCAAGCATAGATCTATCAAAATGGAAATCAGCAGTTATTCACAGAGAAAGTTCAAAGCATTTCACTGACCAAAGGAAGTAAACAACTTCTTCAAAGGAAGGAGTTTCCTTTAAAATCTTTGTATGTTTTAGAAATGAGGAACTAAAATTCCTGGGGCAAGGTGTTTCTTCTGCTTAGAGAAATTAATAAAATTAAAGTCTTGGTAAGTGTCAAGGTTTAGAGAAAGAGTAAAAAGGTACTAAGAAACTTATAACAAAGCAGGGAAAGTTAGTCTTTAAACTATAGCCCCTAGAAGTTATTTTTAAAGGCTCATCATAGTAAGTTCCTGCCTTGTATATGAAACCCTTTTTACCATTCATTCAAGAGTTTACTTTTATATGGGACATTAAAAAAATTCATTTTTTAAGACTAAGGGAGCTCTGGGCACTGTCTTTACACAGGACAAATGGAAGTATCATCGTTTCCCATGAAAGTTCTAAGCAAGCACAATGAGATTGGTAGAATGATGAGATACAAGGTGAGAACAATCTGGAGGGAAAAAAACAATTCTACCCTGAGAAGTGGTTTGATTCTGGACCTTTTTCCTAGGTGGAAGTCCAGTGGTAGTTGAGGTTCTCTCAAGGAACCTCAATTATAGTGGAAGGAAAAAGCAAAAAGAAATTCTGGGGCTGACTTTAGGCTAGCGCCCACTTCAAAGCAGACATTGAATTATTGACTGGAGATTGCTGGGATCAAACTTGGTCATGTTTTAATGTGGACCAACTTCCCAGGCGCCATACTTAAACTCTTACACCTTCTAAAATAGGAACAATCCACCCTTGGCTTCATCTCTGGAAATGTTTCTAGAGGTGGTTCCAAACAGCAGGCCTAGCTGATGGAAACTGGAGTACCTTTTACCCTTGGGTTCTCTTGAGAGTAGCATCACCAGCGTGAATGGGATGTGTGAGTGGTTGGCCCCTCGCTGAGAATTAAGAGACTTCTGAAAGGCTCACCTGCCACCAAGTACCGACCCTGTCAGTTCTGGAGTGTCAGAAATTTATCCATCAGGGATTTCCTCATTGGAACTCCCATTTCCTGTGTTACTCTTCTAGGCATGAATACATGTGAGAGAGCTACTACATAAAGTTAATTTATGTTATAGCATTGATAGTTCATAGATTTCCTCCAATGAGACTGTGTTGTATGAAGACATCTTTATTGACAAATTTTACTCATTTTACAAGCTAACATGGGGTAATGAAGGTTACATCCTTTAAAAAACTCTTTTACACTGCCACTTAAGCAGTAGTTTTTTGCCATTTGTTTCTTTCTCCCTGTAGTGGATTACTTAAGATTTCCTGGTGTAAGGCGATGACAAAAGAACCCTATTGGGCCATCTCGTAAGGAGGGCTGATGGAGAGATCACTGTCTAAAGGGAAAGAAGCACTTAGAGGAATTTTTGAAGAGCAAAATTGCCACGGTTCCTTTGAAGTTTTTGGAAAGTATTAGAGGTGGTGAGTGGGGAGAGAAGTACAAAATATTTTCTGGAATGTCATAGTTGTTTTGTTGAATTGTGTCCCCCACCAAAATTTGTACATAGAAGCCCTAATACCCAGTACCTTAGAAAATGACTGTATTTGGACATAGGGCCTTTAAAGAGGTGACTAAGTTAAAATCAGGCCCTTAGGGTGGACACTAATTTAATCTGATGGGTATCTTTAATCAAAGAGGAGATTAGAACACACGGAGAGAGACACCAGGAATGTACATGCTCAGAGAAAAGATCATTTAAGGGAGGACACAGCAAGAAGGCAGCCACCTGCAAGTCAAGGAGAGAGGTTTAAAGAAGAAACCAAACCTGCCAACACCTTGATCTTGGACTTCTCCAGAACTATGAGAAAATAAATTTTTGTTGTTTACACACATAGTCTGTGGTATTTTGTTATGGCAGCCCTAGCAAACTAATACAGTCATGTACTTGTTCTTTCCTTCTGCATCATTT